GGAAAAAATACTTTTCAAGATCTTTATTCTATGTGAGACAAAGGGATTATTTTCCATCTGAGACAGTTTCATCTTAGTCTTCCTGTGTCATGAAGAGGGGTATAATTAATAAACAACTGGGATCAGCTTCAAGAAAATAATCTGTGGATGTTGCAGCCAGGAGGGAGAGTGGAGGACAGAGGAAGATCAGCTGTATTGCTGGAGACTCCTTGTAACGGGTGCAGCCTAGAGAAAAAACAGCAAGAAAATATTGGAAGTCAATTTCCAGAACATATACTGCTCCCCCGCCCACCGCATCACCTCCCCTCCTCACCAATAGGATTAATCTAGATTAAAGAGAGAAGTGTGGCAATGCACAGACTCTGTCCAAACACTAGAATTTAGGGAAACTAAAGGCAGTGGGAGGGAACAAATCAAGGACAGTGAAGTGATTCAGAGCCTCTGAGAACAACAGCTTCAGGACCAAGGTCACAACCTCTCCCTCAAAGGCCTTAGATTTACCTCTTGTGGGGCATCTGCAGGGTTCTCAGGTGAGAACTGGTAAAGGGAACATGAAGACACTTTTCAAATCTCCAATAGTACTGAGCTTGCTTTAGCTCTGTTTGGAAAAAATAAAACAACAAAACAACAACAACAAACACAAGCAGGACTATGGCCAGTGTTGGAAGCACTTTTCATTGACAAGACACTTGGAAGGAAGGCAAATCTGAGGCTCGTTACTGTGCAAATATGCCACTGTGAGTGTGTGTTTGGGGGGGCTTTGAGACATGGGGTCTTTATGTAAAGTTATAATCTGATGTGACCTTCAACCACAGGTTGTCAATGTGCCACATGAATAAGAAATCACACTGAGGACACTATCCTGGGAGAGTCTGGTTTTCTGTAAGATGAGTTCTGTCTTCCTGGACTTCTGAGCATACCAGAGGACAAATATCATTAAATAAAGTTCAGAGCAGGGAGTTCAGCATCCCACCGTGGTGTGGTCCATGTATCACTTATCTTCTTCCTCAGATTGGGGTGGTTTGAGTTATGAAATACCTGCCTCATGAATATGCAAATGGTGTCTACCAAGGTAAATACAGATCTGTCCTTGCCCAGAGAGCATCACACAACAACATCCCTCCCCTACAGAAGCCCCCAGAGCACAGCACCTCACCATGGACTGGACCTGGAGGATCCTCCTCTTGGTGGCAGCAGCTACAGGTAAAAGAATCCTAAGTTCCAGGGCTGATGAGGGGACTGGGTAAAGTCAAGGGAGATTTTATCCACTCCTTTGTCCTCTCCACAGGTGCCCAGTCCCAGGTCCAGCTGGTGCCGTCTGGGGCTGAGGTGAGGAAACCTGGGTCCTCAGTGAAGGTCTCCTGCAAGGCTTCTAGAAACACCTTCACCTTCCACTACATGCACTGGATGTGACAGGCCCCTGGAAAAGGGCTTGAGTGGATGGGACCTGTTGATGCTGCAGATGTTGAAACAATATACGCACAGAAGTTCCAGGGCAGAGTCACCATGACCAAGGACACGTCTACAGACACTGCCGAATGGAGCTGAGCAGCCTGAGATCTGAGGACACGGCCATGTATTACTGTGTGAAAGACGCGGTGTGAAAATCCACATCATGAGAGTGTCAGAAATCCTGAGGGAGGAGGCAGGTGTGCTGGGCTGAGGAGATGACAGGATTTATGAGGCTTAAACGTGTTTAGAAAATGGGTTAAGTAATTGAGGAAAAGAAGCAACAGAAGGATTTCTACACTCTAATTATATAGGAAATAGTCTTTTCGCCTGTCACCATGTAAGTAACACTTACGGAGTGGGAAAGGCAGCAATCAATCAGGCTGATGCAAACATTCCCTTGGAGACTTTGTGGGGACATAAATGTTAAAATCAAATGGATAAATCATTTGGAGCAGGATTGCTTGATCACATGGTAAGACTAAACATAATTTCTCGGAAGTGGCCAACATTTCTTCCAAAATGTCTTTGCCACTTCTTTTACATTAAATCTATCTTAAAACACTTTTAGGATCACAGCAAATTTGAGTAGAAGAAACAGATTTCCCATGTACTCCTGTCCAAGACACTCACAGACTTCTCCGTGGTCAACACCCTGCACTGAAGTAATAAATAACCAGCAACTGATGAACCCGCAAGAACACATCAATCGTTTCCTTTTCTGGTGATCCCTGGTCTAACAAGCCTAAACTATCTTGAAGTGCCCCAGTTCTTCCAGTAGGTCCCTGTGAATGATGATGCCAGGTAGAGGGAGAGTGAGTAGGGATATTCCTCTTTGCAGTCTTTCCTCAAGAATCCGTTCAATATGCATTGATTTAAGAGCTCTTCTGACTCCTAGTTTTCTATGCCCCTTCTCAGAGGGTACATTCTACAATCTCCAAGCATTTACAGCCGGGGTCCCCAAACGCTAGGCAGTGAAAAAGTGGTCCGCAGCCTGTTAGAAACCAGGCTGCCCAGCCTGAAGTGCGTGGTGGGTGAGCATCACTGCCTGGGCTCCACCTTAGATTCTCCTATGAGCAGAATTCTATTGTGAACTGTGCATGCAAG